GCTGTGTGCCCCAGGGTGCATGACCCAGGAGGAAGTTGTGTGCCCCAGGGTGGATGACACAGGAGGAGGCTGTGTCCCCCAGGGTGGGGCTGACACAGGAGGACGATGACTGTCCCAGGATGGTCCCGATGCAGGAGGAGGCTGTGTGTCCCAGGGTGGTGCTGACACAGGAGGAGGCTGTGTGCCCCAGGGTGGTGGGGCTCAGGAACGGTCCGCAAGGGCCTCTCTGGGGCCCCTGAGTCTGGGGAGGTAGAGTCAAGGCCACCTTTTGTTGTGTGTTGGGGGATGGTGACCTCTAGCCTCAGTTTCTCCTTCATGCCCCTCTCCCTTCTGAGGCTCCTCCTCCCAATGGTGGAAGGTCTGTCCCTCCTGTTCTCTCCTCCCTTGTCCTTCCAGTGCCTTTTAGGGAGACAGTGACCCCAGGGCCAGGCGGCCACTTGCGCCATAAAGATCCTTTACGATAGCCTCCTCTGCCAGCACCACGCTCAGTCCCTGAGACAAACACCCCTCAGTGCAAAGACCACAGACTCTTGATCTGTATGGCAGTCCACCCGGTGTCCCTGGGTCACAAGACTCTGGGAACAAAACACCAACAACCGGTTAAAAGTTTTAAAATAATCTCAGTTTCCCCTCCCTCATTAGGGATTTATAAGGAAAACTAGAGGCCCAGTGCATGAAATTCGTGCATGGGTAGGGTCCCTAGGCCTGGCCAGCAATCAGGGCCGATCCGGGCCTTCTGGCTGCAGGCCAGGCCTTCCTTTGTTCCGTGCCACCCCCTGGTGGTCAGTGCACATCATAGCGAGTGATAGAACTCCCAGTTGAACTCCCAAGGGGACACTTTGCATATTAACTTTTATATATAAAGGTAAGATGTGGTGTGCAGCAGTGTGGACTGGGGAATGTAGACAGCCTGGGAAGACTGTTGACCCAATTCTGAGGGCCACACATGTTTCCCACGGCGGCCAAGGCCTGTGGGCCACCCCAGGGGACAGAGGCTATTGTCCAGGTCACCCGTATCCACAGCCGATGTTTCCACCCCAGACAGACCCCGTGACCATCCTGGACACCTGCGGCAGAGCCGTCCGGAACGCCGTGCATGTGTGGAGCAACATCCCGGCCATGAGGAGGTATTTCCTGTGCACTCAAGCCCTTTGGGAGCGAGGAGGGACACTGGCCATCGAGGAGACAGGAGTCTGAGGGGACAGGGAGCCAGCCATGCCCAGCAGCCTCTGCCCAGGTCCGGACCTATGTCTGGTGGGTCTCTGAGGCAACCCCAAAAATTCTGGGCGTGCTCAAGGTCAGGGACACCCCTTCCACTTTGGGGACCTTCTCCCCAAAAGCTGTTGCACAAACGCTCCTGAGGTTCTCACCCCAGGACTTTGCAGGCTTCGGCTGCACAGCCCACCCTACACACCGGACCCTCACCCTCACAGCCCCGCTCACTCTCTCACCCCCACTCACTGACACACAATCACTCACACAAGCTCCCGCACTCACCCCCACCCATTGACACACAATCACACACTCACACACACAAGCCCACGTACACCCCTCTGCACCCACCAGACACTCTCCTGAGCATTCTCTCTGCTCCACCTCCTCCCGCAACACCCCTCCCCCTGGGCCCTGTGTCAACCTGCTCCTCGGACAGCCTGCTCCGGGACACCTGCCCTGGCTCCCTCTCATCCCACACGGTCCTGCCCTGGAGGGAACAGCTGGCTCCTCCGTGGCACACCCCCCCCCCCCGGGGGGCCATAGGGAGGGGCATGACACATCTTCAGGGGCAGCCGGGTCCTGTCTCCTCCCCACAGTGGCTGCTGGAGCCTTTCCCACCCACCCCTCGCCAGGCCCACGTCCAGGATCAGTTTTAGGTGCGGCTTCCCGGGCTGTGTTCTCCCTGAGGCCTGGAGGGTCATTCTTCGGGTGGTGCTTACGCCTGTTCTCCCTGCCCTGCCCACCAGCTGGCTCCCTCCCCACGGGGTTCCCGGAAACAGGCTGGAAGCCCCTGCTTTGAAGGGCAGGTCCGCTCAGGCTCCTGCTGTCCTAACAGGGAGGAGGGGCCCCCTCACCGAAGGCAGACTTCATCCTGCTGAGCGGGTGGGCGGCTGCCCTGGACGGCCATGTCACCCCTCTGCCAGTCAAGCTGCCCGGGGGGTGTGTTGGTGGGGGGAGGGGGGTTGCCAGGAGGAGCCCTGCATGTTTCTGGCGCCTCATCCCTGGCCTTGCAAAGTGAACCAAGGAATGTGTCTGACTGCAGTGGGTGCCTGGGAGCATGAGACGCAAGTGCTGGGCGCCGTGTTCACGGAGCCCGGAGTCCCAGGGGTGGCATCACATTGCAAGTTGGGGTCCGCTGCTCTCCCCACCCACCTGCCCCTCATGCAGGGTCTGCAGCACGGCTGCCACAGGACCCCCGGGACCTGCTCAGGTCTCTGTCTTGGGTAGATCAGGATTCCTTGGGAATGACATTCTTCTCTGTGGGGTCTCTCCATGATGGCTTCTCCCTGAGAGGGGGACTCCCCAGGTGGGCCAAGATCTGCCCTGGGGAACCCTCGGCCTTTCACCAGCTTCTCACAGGACCGAGGGAGGTGGGAGGGGTGGGGCCATCTCGTCCCCTGAGGCCCAGGACATGCAAGCAGGACGGGGTGTTTATGGGAGAGACCGGCACCAGCCAGCCCCCGCCCATCGCCGGCAGCCCTGCCCTGGGAGCGCGTGGAGCTGGTGGGTGACGGGCTGCCCTCTCCTCCGCAGCAGGCATTCGGCCCAGGTGCCCCCCGAGGAGCTGGCCCAGCTGGCCCAGGACCGGCAGAGAGCACGGGCCGCTGCCCTCGGGCCGGCCACGCTGGTGAAGAAGTGCTTCCTCCCCCTGAGAGAATATTTCAAGTATTTTCAACCGAACTCACTTCCTCTTTATAAGTGAGTCATTCTACCGCGAAAAAAGAAAAAAGACTTTTCTTAGAACTAAGATAACTTTCCTGATATTGTCTCCATTGTCCTCTTCAAATGATTATTTTATTTGCTTGACCTTGGATTTCCCGTGGTGGCCTCAGACCCCCTCCCTTTGGGTCTGGAGATTAGCCGCCGCCCCTCCTCCCCACCCCCACACGTCCTTCCCGGGAGGGGGCGAAGTGCCCGGCTCTCACCAGGGACAACATCCTGATGTTCAAGTGCATGTGTGCTGCTGAAAGTGTTTCTGTGTGCTGTTTGAGGAATTAAAAATACTTATTACGCAGGTTAGTGGTCATTTTTGGTGTTTTGATGTATATGTGCGGCCTTTATGCTGTAGGACACGGGCTGTGGGTGAGAAAGACCAGCAGGACACACTGCCCAGGCGTCTGTTGCAGGCGCTCCACAGGTGCAGGAGCGATGCTGTCATGTGACCATGCACCCTGCTGGCAGCCACACAGCAGCCCAGACCTCAGCAAAGTGCAGAGCTCCGAGCTCGGTGAGCAAAGGGAGAAGGGATGAGGAGACAGCAGTGAGGTGGAGGCCAGATACCCTAACCCTAACCCTAACCCTAACCCACCGTGCAATGTGCAGCCTTCCCGTCCTCGCTGGGCTCCTGGGAGGGGAGACCCGTCAGAGCATTGGT